TGGCCAAAGGATAGAGATGTATCTGAAAGTGATTTATACACTGTGGAGTGCTATGTGGAAGTGTGTTCTGTCATTGTTACTGTTTCAGCAGTCACAGAGTGATTTGAGTCCAGCAGAGAGTCTCCAGCAGAAGACTACTTGAACTTTATGATTCATTTATGATTCGGAATCAGATCCGGAAAATAACCCTTTTTAAAAAGAGAAATGCCACTGCTAAATTCAATATGCTTCTCAGACATACTGAATAAAGAATTTCCATTCACAAACACATCAAAATTTCTAGTGTCTGTCTTATTTGAATATACAGATAGAACAGCTAGTAAACTTTGGATCAAATACATAATATCTAGTTTTTTAAAAAGCAGTATAGCTAAAACTGCTGATATGAAATGACAAGGTGAAATGTGTTGGGTATATGGTGGACAAACTGAATACATTTTCTAAAAATGCTGAGAAAAAGAATAGAGATGAAAATCAAAAGAGAGTAGAAGGTTAATAGAGGCTTTAGATTGCAAATTTAATCTAAGCATTACAGGTACGAACAAGAAAGGAGAAACAGGGAACAAGCATGAAGAAAGAAAAAATGAATTAATCAATTGAAAAAAAATGTTTTCTGATAAAGAAATGCCTAAGATCTCATACCATACACAAAAGTTAACACAAAATGGGGCTTCCCTGGTGGCACAGTGGTTAAGAATCCACCTGCCAATGCAGGGAACATGTGTTCGAGCCCTGCTCTGGGAAGATGCCACATGCCGTGGATCAACTAAGTCCATGTGCCAGAACTACAGAACCTGCACTCTAGAGCCCATGAGCCACAACTACTGAGCCCGCACACCACAACTACTGAAGCCCGCACACCTAGAGCCTGTGCTCCACAACAAGAGAAGCCACCACAGTGAGAAGCCTGCACACCGTAATGAAGAGTAGCCCCTACTCACTGCAACTAGATAAAGCCCACGCGCAGCAATGAAGACCCAACGCAGCCAAAAATAAAATAAAATAAATAAAAAAACTTATAAAAAAGTTAACACAAAATGGTTCACAGACCTAAATGTAAGAGCTAAAACCACAAGACTCTTAGAAGGAAACATCATCCGAGTAAATCTCGGTCACCTCAGGTTAGGCAATGATTTCTTAGATACGACACCAAAAGTACAAGTGATGAACGAGAATGACAAGTTGGACTTTATTAAAATTAGAAGTATTTGTGCTTCAAGGGACACCATCAAGAAAGTGATGAGACAACTCATAGAACGGGAAAATATATATCTGCAAATCATTACATCTTACAAGGGACTTGTATCCAGAATATACAGAAAATGACTAATTACAACTTTAAAATTAAAAGATAAATAAACCTATCTGAAAATGATCAAAGGATTGGAATAAATATTTTCTCCAAAAAAAGACATAAAAATGGCCAATAAGCACATGAAAAGATGCAACATCATTAGTCATTAGGGAAATGCAAATCAAAACCATAATGAGATACAACTTCACACACACTAGGATGGCTATCATCAAAAAGACAGACAATAACAAGTGTTGGTGAGGATGTGGAGAAACTGGAACCCTCATACATTGCTGGAGGTACAGTCTCCTTGAAAAACAGTCTAGAAGTTCCTCAAAACGTTAAACTTAGAGTAAGTACCATATGAGCCAGCAATTTCACTCCTAGGTATATATTCAAGAGAACTGGAAACACATGTTCATCCAAAACCTTGTTCACAAGGTTTTGGCTGAAACCCAACTTAGCCAAAAATAAAATAAATAAATAAATAAATTTATTTATTTATTAAAAAAAAAAGACTTCAAACCAGGGTGTACTGGGGTAGTTTTCTGAATTATAATAGTGAAAGAAAAGAATTCTTTAAAAAGATGCATTTAATCTATAAAGCAAAAGAAACCAAACTGATCTCAAAGATCTCTTCTGTAGCACAAAATAGGAAGCAGCAGAGTGTGGGAGTTAAGAACACTGTCTTTGGAATCCTTCATTTAACAGATGTTTGTGAAGCACCTGTGACGTGCAAGACCCTGGCTTAGCAGAGAAACAGTGACACACAGGGTCCTACTCCTAGGGATATTTCATTCTAATGTAGGAAGACATCATAAGCAAATAAGATCACTTGAGGTAGTGATGAGTTTTATGAAGAAAATTAAATGAATATAGAGATGAGAAAGTGACTGAAAGTGTAGCTTTAAATACAGTGGTCATGGAGGACTCATTTGATTACCCTGTATTATCTTTATAATTGTAAATTTTTTTAAAGATATATATATATATTTTTTCTATTGTGAAGACATATTTACTCTCATGCAGTTATTTAATAACCGATGTTGAGTTAAAAGCTCCTTCAGTATCTCCAAGGTGAGCAGAAAGGTGCATTACCCAGTGCAGGTTACCCTCCTCACTTAAGGGCATTCTTCTTTGGGGAGGTGGGAATTAAAATGGGCACAGCATTTTAGTTGCTCAACATTATTTACTGTTTACGAAGCCAGGTAAATTACATATAAGTAGACTCCAAACATTCTACTAAAACCACAACTAAGCAGCAGAGTATCAAAATGATTAAACCTTAAGCAACTATATTAGAGTCAAAAAATCTACAGGCAAGATTCAAAAAACTTATAAAGCAGAAGGGCAATAAACTTCTGATAGGCAGTAAACTTAATTCACAGAACTTTCTTATCCTTCCTTATTCTCTCAGCTGTATGTAACTCCATGAAGCAGGCTTTGTAAACGTCTTCCAACTCCTCCCAGTCAGAGGCTTTGCCATATTCCTAACATTGCATTTTAGAGACTTATTATTTTGATAGATTGGACTTTTAAAAAAATTTTTTAAAGAAGTGTCTTGGAGTACAGTTGATTAAAGATATATTCTTTAGGGACTTCCCTGGTGGTGCAGTGGTTAAGACTCCGGGCTCCCAATGCAGGGGGTTGGCGGTTCGATCCCTGGTCAGGGTACTAGACCCCACATGCATGCTGCAGCTAAGAGTTCACATGCCACAATTAAGGAGCCCGCGTGCCACACCTAAGGAGCCAGTGAGCGGCAAATAAGGAGCCCAAGAGCCACAACTAAGGAGCCCGCCTGCTGCAACTAAGACCCAGAGCAACCAGATAAATAAAAAATAAATTAAAAAATAAATAAATAATATTTTTAAAAGATACATTCTTTAAAAAGAATTTTTAAAATTAATTTATTAATTTTTTTTGGTTGCATTGGATCTTCATTGCTGCGTGCAGGCTTTCTCTAGTTGTAGCAAGCGGGGGCTACTCTTTGGTGCGGTGCATGGGCTTCTCATTGCGGTGGCTTCTCTTGTTGTGGAGCACGAGCTCTAGGTGCGCGGGCTTCAGTAGTTGTGGCATGTGGGGTCAGGAGTTGTGGCCCATGGGCTTAGTTGCTCCACGACATGTGGGATCTTCCCAGAGCAGGGCTCGAAACCATGTTCCCTGCACTGGCAGGGGGGTTCTTAACCACTGCACCACCAGGGAAGCCCAAAAAGATATATTCTTTGTGTGTGTGTGTGTGTGTGTGTGTGTGTGTGTGTGTGTTTGCAGTACGCGGGCCTCTCACTGTTGTGGCCTCTCCCGTTGCGGAGCACAGGCTCCGGACGCGCAGGCTCAGCGGCGGCTCAGCGGCCATGGTTCACGGGTCCAGCCGCTCCGCGGCATGTGGGATCTTCCCGGACCGGGGCACAAACCCGTGTCCCCTGCATCGGCAGGTGGATTCGCAACCACTGCGCCACCAGGGAAGCCCAAAGATATATTCTTTAAAATAAACTCTGGCAGTACAATTCCGATCCTAGGGATGTAGAATAAAATTATAAAATATGTGAAAAGAAGATTGCATTTTTACCCAGAAATAAATTGCAAATTAAAAATAACTCACTGGGCTTCCCTGGTGGCGCAGTGGTTGCAAATCTGCCTGCCGATGCAGGGGACACGGGTTCAAGCCCTGGTCTGGGAAGATCCCACATGCCGTGGAGTGGCTAGGCCCGTGAGCCACAACTACTGAGCCTGCGCGTCTGGAGCGTGTGCTCCGGAACGGGAGAGGCCGCGACAGTAAGAGGCCCACGCACCGCGATGAAGAGTGGCCCCCACTCGCCGCAACTGGAGAAAGCCCCCACACAGAGGCAAAGACCCAACACAGCATAAATAAATAAATAAATAAAAATACTTTATCAGGAAAAAAAAAACTCACCAAACACAACACTGTAAATCAACTATACTTCAATAATTAATTAATTAATTAACTCACAATCTTTAAAATTATTCACTCCTATATAAAGTTTCCCAAAAAAACCTATTTATCCTTAATATTTTACCCATAGCATGAATTTATTTATGATTGAAACTAAGCTATTGAAGCTTTAGGTCTGAAGTAAGTCAATATCCTAAGAATCTCATGAAATGAAATACGGCTAAACCATTTAAATAAAACAAAATGGTACAAAATTATTTACCCACCACGCACAAGAATACACAACCAAAGACACATTTTGACAAAATTGCATATAGCTTCTGCTACCAGTCAGTCAGGGCACACACAACTAATGTAAAAATAACACTGTCTAGAACACTCTTATTTTAGTTAACAGATACTTCATCCTAAGAAAAAGAAAGAATAAAAGAAATAAGCAAATAAACAAGTATACAGAAAATGTAACAGAAGAGAAGCCCCAGGTTCACTTGCACATGCATCCCAGACTCCTTAGTTATCGCAATGTGTAAAATGAGATGTAAAATATGTATGATGTGGAGTAAGGTATACAAGACCATCTAACAAAACAGCCCTCTCAACTTGAGTAAAACAATATAAGTTATCCTCTTCTGTTGTTTTCTCACCTGAGAATGAAGAAAAGAAGCATGATCATCTCTAGTACAGATATTTACATAACATTCTATCCATAACTTTTCAGAAACTTACCACACATCAGCCATGGAAAAAAAAGATACAGAACTAGATAAAAGTTTAAGGCATCAAGAGTCCACTAACCTTAACCCGTTGAACAGTTGCTTAGATTTATCCAGAAGGTAACAAAAATCTGTAACTGTTTTCCTCTCTCCCTGTGGGATGTCATCTTCAGCACCTCCAGAGGACATGATTTCTTTAAGAGCAAATTCAGTCCTGTAAGAAAACATATGTCTATTTACCAAGTAGGTGAAAATAAAAAGAGAAACAGACCTTAGTTATATCATCTGATAGCATTTGTTTATGATAGAGACATCTTCTGATTACAATCAAATCATCAAAATAATTTAAGTATAAGATGGTGTGGAAGAATACACAATCTCATATGGTGGGTAGGAATGAAAATTGGTACATCCATTTTAAAAAGCAGTTTTTATAATATTATTTCATCCAATAAATATTATTTGAATGGCTAAAATGTTCCAGGCACTCCTCTACATGGTTAAGAATAAAAAATGTTGAACCTTTTAACCTATTTATCTATTTGATCCATTCTGTATATCCATCCCAGAAAATGATCCTACAAATGGAAAACCCTTTGTCCATAAAGATATTTATTTCGGTACCATAGTATTTAAAAGCTGTTATGAAACTAAAAAAAACAAAGAGGGAAATGGCTAAGTACTTCATAGAACACTAATGACTACACTCTACCCTATCACTAACTTACAGTTATACTTAAGATGATAAAGCAATAATATGGATATACTTCAGTATAAAAGGGTTATATAAAAACCACACGCACACACACACACACACACACACACACACATGTACATATATTTTAAAGCTATTTATTACTGAATCCAAGCTATCTTCCCATGCAATCAATCATGTTAATCAGCCATTTTAAAAACAGCAAGTTGCCGGATAGTATACATAGTATGAACCTATGCTAAAGAAAAAAAAATTCATTTGTGTTCACACACAGATAGAAGTCCCTGGGACAACACAGGGAAATCTGGTCCCAGTGCAGGGTGAAAAAACAGGCAGAGCAGGCAAGGACCAGGCACCAGAGATGGTAGTTGGGGGTGGTACAGTTATTTTGGCAAATATTTTTCTCTCCAACATTGTCTTAAACAGACAATTGCGGTTGCAAGGCAGGAAAACTGTAGCAAGCCTAGAACTGCCAAGGGGCTGCAGGGTAACACATGGGTGGCACCGCAGCCAGCTGTTGGGGAAGTAGTTTACAACACGCACTGACAGCACTGGGTAGTCCTGCATGTTCACAAGTTCCTTCTTCCCACCACTTCTTTCCGCACGTCATGGACTAGGTGGTTTTAACAAAGGAAAACAGACCTTGAAAAGTGCAGAGTCTGGGAAGGGAGTCCACACTACAGTGATCCTGGATAAGTCATCTCCCACACTCAACAACCCCCTGCCTTCATTCTCTAAACCCAGAAGGAGATGCAGAAGCGAGGCACAAACTGTACTTTCTCCAGCCCTCCCCATATAGTTCATGAGCCAACGTGGCTAATATCCCCAGGACACAGGAGTTTACAGGAGAAAAACACAAAATAAAAGTTCAAAATAAACAAATTCAATAAGAAAGGATATTAGATATAAAGCAGGAAGAAAATATCATAATGAAGCAAATAAAAATACTGGGTATGAAAAATATAATCAGTGAAATAAACTTAGTAGATGGATAAACTAAATAACAGAAAAGATACAGATGAACAAATTAATAAACTAAAACATCAGGTTTAAGGTACTCTGCCAAAAGACATCAGGAAGAGATAGAATACACAAAAGAAAATTCAAGAGATATGGAAAAGGGAAATGAAGGAAATCAACATCCACATCATAGCATATAAAGAAGAAAGAAAAAATCATGAGAAGGCAATAAATACTTGCAGAAATAAACTTCTATAAACTTCCCAGAATTAGAGAAAATATAAAACCTCAAACTAAAAGGACTCAAAGAATGTTAAAGGAAAGAAAAGATAAAGAAATAATCCCACAGCCAGAAATATTAAAGTGAAACTTAAGAATCCGAAGAAGCCCTCTCTCATTCCCTAACTATCCAGTCCTACAGCCATTAGGTGGGGCAGAGCACAGCAGGTGTCCACACAGAGGGTAGCCTCCTGGGTATCAGAGCACAAATTGTGAAGAGACCATCAACATCCATACAAAGGGCCAGCTTGCATGGGACGGTGGAGGCTGAGTGCAGTGAGAAGGGTAACCACGAATGGGGACTGGCATGAGGAGTGAGAGCCTGAGCAGGGTGAGAAGGGCATGTCCACATGGAAGAGTTCAGAGGTAGAGAGAGATCTGTCATATATAGCGATTCATCAAATAAGAAAATCTACTAAGGAAAAGGGGACCCAGAGTTCTCTGTAAGAGAAAGAAAACACAAACATGGAAAGGGAAAAGGTTAGAATGAACCCTGTGGATTGAAACTGGAGATATGGGTAAACTAATGGATGTTTAAAAAGAGTGATATATCTCTCAGCTCCCTTAATGACATTCTGAGTGTGGTTGGCGTATTTTCAGAGAGGGAGAGGAAGGTACTCCTAATGCACGACAGACTGGCCCACAGTGGCCACTCTGTTCCTAGAAGTGCAACAGCTTCCATCTGCATCTGGGGTTTCACCAACCCTCTCTTGTTTTTCCTTTCCCAGCCAAGGCCACTTTTGATGCCATTTCCAAGACCTACCTTTACCTCACTCCTGATCTCTGGAAAGAAATAGTGTTCACCAAGTCTCCATATCAGGAATTCACTGACCATCTTGTAAAGACCCACACAGAGTTTCTGTGCAGAGGACCCAGGCTCCAGCTGTAGCCACCACATATTTTTATATGAGAAAAGTAAAGTGAATGAAGCCAGTTAAAAAGAAAAAGAAAGAGAGAGACATAAATGTCTCGGGGGGGAGGGGGAGGCGTGATGTGTACATAAGTATACTCCCCAGTTCTGTAAATCTGTCTAGTGAGAGGGCCTGGGAACAGTGACCATTCCCCACCGCCCGACCCCCACCAATGGTATGAACATACCTAGCACCCAAATCTTGGCTTCTAACACCATTCTCCAATAAAGGGAACCAGAGCTCCTTGGAGAATTGTAATTGTCTAATTACAGCCCTGGAGCAGAAAAAGTACAAGATGAATCTGGAATATCCTGTGCCAGAGAGCAACAAAGTGCTCAAAGAATGATAGACACATAAGAAAAGGATATAGGACTTAATTGTCCATCAACAGATGAATGATAAAGAAAATGTGGTATATGTACAAAATGGAATATTATTCATCCATAAAAAGGGGAAGTCCTGCTATTTGCAACAACATGGATGGACCTTGACAGCATTATGCTAAGTTAAATAAGTCACATAGAGAAAGACATATACTGTATGATCTTACTTATATGTGGAATCTTACAGAAAAAAACAAACTCATAGAAACAGAGAATAGATTGGTGGTTTCTGGAAGTGGGGGTGGGGAGTGATAGAAAACTGTGAAGGTGGTCGAAGGGTACAAACTTCCACTTATAAGATAAATAAGTTCTGGGGATGTAATCTACAATATGGTGACTATAGCTAACAAAATTGTATTATACATTTGAAAGTTGCCAACAAAGTAGATCTTAGTTCTTATCACAAGAAAAAAATTTTTGTAACTGTGTGAGGTGATGGATGATAACCAAACTTATTGTGGTAATCATTTTGCAGTATATAATACATCAAATCATTATGTGTACACCTTAAACTAATAGAATGTTATATGTTAATGACATCTCAATAAAACTGGAATAAATGAATAAAAATAAAAAATAAAATCAAGCATTACAAAAGGATCTAGGATCTAGCTTGAGGGAGCATCCACTAGCCAAATTGGGGATAATTTCAGCATCAAAACAAATAATGATAGTAATGGATTATAACCTATTAAATAAAATAAGAAATGATAAAGCAATACTGACATAAGTGAATGAATAAATGTAAAGTCTGATAGTGAATGGGATAGTTTCAGAGTACTTGCCCACAAAATACACATTAATTCCAAAAGGAAAAAGTAACATCACAACAATGGAATCTGGCAGACATCACCTTGATTAAGTGACCAAAATGAACATCATTCATAATCAGACAAATCAAAGTCCTCTACCACCTGATAGGATGAGAAGTGGTTTTCCTGCCAAAGAGACCTAATCATGAGGAAACAGACAAAACCAAATTGGGAGAGATATTCTACAAAATAACCAAACTGTAATCTTCAAATATGTCAAGGATATTCCCCCAAAGAAAAGGGAAGACTGAAGTGCGATGCCTGATTCAGAGCTGGATCTTTCTGCTGTAAAGGATGTTATTGGGACAAGTGGTGAAGCTTGAATGGAATCTGAGAAATAGATGGTAGTAATACATCAATGTTAATTAGAAAAAAATATGAAACCTGGAATTCCCTGGCAGTCCAGTGGTTAGGACTCTGCACTTCCACTTCAGGGGCCACAGGTTCAATCCCTGATCAGGGAGCTAAGATCCTGCATGCCACGTAGTGTGCCACCCCCCCCCAAAAAAAAAGAAAGAAAGAAAAAAACCTTACCAGTAACCAACGAAAAAAAAACCCTAATACAACAAAGTTAGCACATTAAAAATATACTAATTATTTAGCACACTGAATGTGTCAACAGATGAATGGATAAAAAAGATGTGGTATATATATATATATAATAGAATATTACCCAGCCATAAAAAAGAATGAAATAATGCCATTTGCAGCAACCTAGAGATGAACCTAGAGATTATCATACTAACTGCAGTCAGACAGAGAAAGACAAATATCATATGATATCACTTATGTGTGGAATCTAGAAAATGATACAAATGAACTTATTAACAAAACAGAAACAGACCCACAGACATAGAAACCAAACTTACCATTACCAAAGGGGAAGGGGAGGGATCAATTAGGAGTTTGATATTAGCAGATATAAACTACTATATATTGAATAAACAACAAAGTCCTACTGTATAGCACACAGAACTATATTCAATATCTTATAATAAACCATAATGGAAAAAGAATATGAAAATGAATATATATAATACCTACTTTGCTGTACACCAGAAGTTAACACAACATTGTAAATCAACTATACTTCAATTAAAAAATAATATGCTGCAACTTAGACCCTGTGCAGCCAAATAAATAAATAAATATTTTTTAAAAACAAAAA